GTATACTTTTTAAGAAAGCGTGGCTATCAGGGTACCCTGATAACCACAGTTTCAGACCAACCAAGTTGGTGTCAGATAGTGTTGCCACCAACTTACCGACAACTTGCGGTCAACTTCCGAATTTGAAACTGTTGGCGTCAAGTTGGCTACAAGTTTCTGAGAAAAACAAGACCAATCTACTGCCGCAACTTGTCGTCAACTTGGTGCGAAAGAGTTTCGAAAACAATTTCTGCCGACAACTTGGCGACAACTTGGTGAACAACCGAGTTCATTTCCAAGACTTACCCCCAACTTGGTGACAAGTTGCGGCAGCAAATCGACGGAAAGTTGCGACCGGTTTGGCTATCAGGGTATCGATCGAGGTATTCTTAATAGCTTAGATCGATAAAGAAATAACTCACTAATAAATTTACTTAACTCTCAGCTGTTAACAAGCAAATACATTATTACCGACAGCAAACGGGATCGGATTGAGTCGGATTCAACATCTTATCCGATTTAAGGAGGTATTACCCTAAAATAGTTCTCAACTTTCGGAAAAATTTCCCCCCATATGCCCCAATGTAAAGCATTATATAACTACAATATGAAGTAGTTGAGATGCAGTACACTTTTGCGCCTCCTCTCATATGCGCAGAAGTAGAAAAATAATCCCACTGTTTCTTTTTTATGACTTAGCTACGTTGCATTCTCGCTCAGAATCGTTTGCTCCTTGAGACATGTGTTGTAGAAAAATTTAATGTTTTGAAATAATTTTGAGGTTACGTATAGTTGGATGCTCTTGTAGCTGTTTTTCGGGATGGCGTTGTCGAATGATGATAGTAGATGTCGTTTCAGTAGAAAAAAACTTGCAATTACAATAATAACTCATTTGTCCAATATTCTTACATTATAACGTATATTTCAATAATATTTAGCCATCTAATATTAAATTATTCATGTCAGTCCGATTCATCATCACGTAAGTTAATTTTTCATACATAATTTAAATTAGTTACAATAATTTCCATTTAAAAATTCTGGTATTTGTGTTAACATGTGAATAATGTTAACACGTGATAGTGGTTTACTATAATACAGAAAATGCCGCATGCGCAAACGATCAATGCTAAGATTAATAGAATTCAATTCGAAATGGTTTGAGATATAGAAAATTTAATAAAGATTAATTCTGTTATCTTCACAAAATGATTTAAAATAATAAAAACGAAAAAAACATAAAAATTATGAATATTCTCTTGCACATTCGATTGTAGCTTGACGATTCTATTCTTTTCTCATCCTTATTTCATATTATATCCGTTTAACGTATGAAGTAGTAGCAGATTAAAGTTCCAAAGAGAAAAGAATGCAAAAAATAACTAATCAAGATGTCATTTACATATCCCTTGACTTTGTTCACTCAATTAGGTTTGTACGGAACATTGAAAAACGGCCATGAAAATATTATTGAGGTGAATATAATACATATAGGGTAGAAGTACCGTTTTTGGCCACCTTAGCACTGTTTTTGGTCAGTTAACATTTTAATTAATTTATAAAAAATTATAATATTATAACCATATTTTTGTTGAGTTTTAAAAAATTTATATTCAAACAAATTGAGTTTGGGATGGTTTATTGATATTAATTCATTTCTATCGTTTATTTGAACAATAAATGGCCATAAACGGTACAGTGGCCACAAACGGTACTTCTACCCTAATTAAAATTTATAATGAAAAAAGTTCACTAATATTGTATTTAATTTATTTATACTGTTGTCATCATTATTATTTCACCATTAATTATTAATTATTTCTATTTATAGTTCGCACTTAAAGTACGCAAAATTATTGATTATAATTCATTTGACTTGAATATTTATTTATCACGTTAAAATTTATTTTTTCGAGTTACAGCGTTTTTTCATGACAATTTTATTTATTTATCAAAATTATTAAAATGAGGATTAGTTTGTTACGATAAGAACACATATCTCGAGTTACAACGTTTTGTCATAACAAAAATGAATTTTTCAGTAAAATTTTATAGAGCAGATGTCTTAAAAAATTTCTTATCTCTTTTCTAAAAACTTATAAAATATCAAAATGATGTCCCTATTATTTTCAGAATTTGTTTAGCACTCCCCGACTGATGTTCAGCACCTTCAAAACTCCACCAAAATGAGTCGCAAAAATCTAGTATTCGATGAAAAACTAAACCTTGAAAAAATAAGACAAATGATCGAAAAAAAAGGCGTAGATATAAACGCAACTGTGACATATTGCGAGGAAAAAAACTGGACATTTCTTCACGTAGCTGCAGACACTTCCAACGAAGAATTGCTTGACTACTTACTTGACAAGAAAGCTAACCTGAATGTCAACAACGAAAACTGGGGGACTCCGCTCCACATCGCCGTAACACATGACAATATGAGAGTAGTTGAAAAGCTGATCGACCATGGCGCTGATGTGAATAGTCCAAAAGGATCCTACGTTTGGACACCTTTGCATGTGGCGATTGAAGCCCTCCGAGAAGAAGCAGCCAAACTTCTGGTCAGAAAAGGTGCCGATGTGAACATACCTTGTGATGACGCGATTAGAACAGGTTGCACGCCATTCCACGTCGCTATTGAGACGAATCGTGAGAAACTGATTGAGTTTCTTCTGAAAAACAAAGCTGACGTCAACACCAAGTTGAAATTGTTTAGCTGGCCGATTTTCTCCGCTGCTACTTTAGGGAACTTTAAAATTGTCAGAAGTCTGATTGACCATGGAGCCAGTATCAACCTGCCTGTTGATGATCAGGATTCACCTTATTTTTCCTTCACTCCTTTGCACATCGCTGCTACCTTCAAGCACAGTAAGGTTGTCAGAGTCTTGTTGGACTACGACGTTGACATTGATGCTGTCACTAATCAGGGTGATACTGCCCTCCATCTTGCTCTTCTGCGCCCCAACGAGGCTGTTGTCAAGCAGCTTCTCATTGCTGGTATTAACGTAAATATTATAAACAATGAAAATAAGATTGCGATTAATTATTGCGATGAAGATTCGATTTTCAAAATGGTCAAGGAACATATTGTAAAGCTGAAGGCGGCAAAAGTGTGGATTCATAAGAAGAATATCAACATAATTCTCAAAGATATGGAACTGAAGGAACTGTGGAAGAAGTGTCTTGACGAAATTGAAGGGATGAAGGCTGCCAAAATTGGAGCTGTTACCTTTTTTGATGTTCTGAATGATCATGGACGTGAGTTGGAGGTTTATACTGAGAATTCTAAAGACGTTGCGGCGATTTTGGATGCTGGGGTGGGAAAGATGTTTCCTTTGTATGGTGATATTTTGGAAAGTCGTTTGAAAGGGAAGTATAGAGGAAAGATGGTTAAGTGTGAGTGAAATTGTATTTTGAGAGTTAATAAATGGTATTTGTGATATTTCTGAAAATATGTTTATTTTTATTGAAGTATTAGATAAATGTATGTGTTAAAAACAGGGTCGGCGCTTTTGGGTTGTAGAGATGATTTTGTTTGGAAAAATTCAAAATAATTGAAAAAAAATTTTCAATGTTTGGCTTTTAATAAATAATGTTTGGGTTTCAATAAATTTTATATTAAAATAGTTATTTATGCTACATGTGGGATAAGTAGCAAATAATCGGACAGTCGTGTTGTTGCGACATGAGCGTAAGGTTCATACGAATGTCTCAAAAACCTTACAGCGAATATCGTAATCACGACTGTCATATTTGCTTTTTATCCAACTCAATTTTTGCAAAATGGGGTAAAACCAATAACTTCCCGATTTTTGAAAATCTTTGATTTCCTTAGCGAGAAGTTAAAAATAATTTCTTAAATTTTCAATATAACATGAATAATGTCTCAGTAAACCGCTTAAGTTGATGTATACGAAATAAGAATCCACTTTAATAGCACTCCTGCTTGGACCAGCTGTAACGTGAACGACTGACGACCTAAAAGACGCAAGTTCGAGCCCAACTCACACCAAGGATTTTTTCAATCAATAATTCCATTTCAATCTGAGATCAAATTCACTAATGAGTTCTAATATGATATGAGTATCTAATCCTGAATTATTTTTAATTTTTTCGAAAATTTTAATATTTTTTCTTTCAAAATTTAAATGGGGTTCTGATGGGGATTGCCCTATTCGGAGCCAAGAGGGATTGCTCAATGAGGGGCACATATGGCTTTGCGTTACATCCCTATGTGTGGTCCCTATTGGGCAACCCAATGAGGACTCAATAGGTCTTAAATTAAAATTTCTAGTCGGGATACACTTACCTGGTTCATGGAAATCTTCGCTGATTGTCGTAAAAAATTTGAATATTTTATCTGAAAATATTGTACTGGAATCAAAATGTAGGTAATAAATTAAATCAGTCTATTTATCTTTTATTACACAGTAAAAATTTCCTTGAAAAATTACCGTTAATCTCAATGTAAATGTGAGACATAGTGCAGTTTTTTTCATTCATTACTATTTTTTAAATTAAAATTACGAAAAAATTCATTTATTTTATGGTAGACTTAATAATAAAATTTACCGTAGATTACGATAAAACTTGTTGAAAAAAAGCTATAAATTATTTCACTTACCGGCAAATGATTAGGTCGTGTATAATATTTCAGTGTGGATAATATTAATAAATGCATAGATTGAAAACGTTGTATAGTTTAATAAAAATATATCAAGTTATTATTTGTTTCTAAGTATTACACAAATATCAAAAAATAAAATTAGTACCTTATAAAAAAAATATTTAGCAACTACTTAATTCTACTTATAAATATGAGTCATAAGTCATAATATTTATTAATATGAGGTAGTTCACTGTTACACAATATAAAAATTATAAAAATTATTTCACATTAATTAAGTATACAATAGATATAGAATCGTTTAAAAAGAGAAATGCTCTCAATTTCAATAAATTATCACATTAATTGACTTGGTTTTATGATAAAATTATTCTTTTTTTTTCAAATTGATTTTCTATTCTTCCCAAGTAATGAATTCGTTGAATGCATGGTCATTGTTGAATTTTAGGACTACCTCCTCTTTAATACGTTCAAGTCGTTTGGCATACCTTTTGAACACTTCAATTAACTTATTGACATCGACGGTTTCCATCACATTTTGATATCGCGAATGTACGTCCTCAAGGCTGGCGTAAACGTCAGGTGGAAAAATTGTTACCAAATCGCGGTTGAATTTCTTCTTTCTTGAAACATACTCGAGGTATTCTGGTAAAGTGGGATATTTCTTAGAATCTTTGGCACAACGAAGAAATAGATTATACAAAGATAGAATTTTATCAAATTCTAATGAATCAATTGTATCGTAGGATATTTTTACATTATTTTTGTCGTCGTCGTTGTTGATAATTACTTTTTTGGTAATCTTGACTAATTCTGAGTAAAATGAAGTTTCTTGATCGATGGTAAAAAAAGGACGGAAGGTTTTTTCACAGATTTTAACAATGATTTTACCGTTTTTATTCGAATCGTCTTCGTAATTTATCAAATGAACATACTCATTTAAATGAACTTTTTCTTGAATGATATCGGTGTGTAACATACCTTTGTGATTTAATTTAAGATAATTGAGTTTTTGTAAATTAACAGGCTTTTCAATTTCACAGACTAGAAAACCGTTTATATTTTTGAATATTTTATCCAACATATAATAAACTCTTTCTCTATGCGATGGAATTTTTTTCAATATCATTACATGTCTAATGATATCTCTACGATTTTCAATGGACTCTAAATCTAAATCATACTTAAAGTATTTTAATATTTCGATCATACAATGTCCAACGCCGTAATACATTCTTAAACGTTCGTGCGTGAAATTTTGAGGATCACCTTTGAATATGCATGAGGATAATTCAACCCAGTACTATAGCGCAGTAAGCAGCGAAGTATTTTCTTGAGGATCTAGTGGCAATGATGACAGTCCAATTTTGCACACTGTTGCACTGATACGTCGCATAACATATTTTTTAAACTGTCCTAAAACATTTATATCCATCTATTTTTTATTTTCACAGTTTTTCCACAATATGTAATAAAACAAACCAACATTGTAATTTATCTTTTTGAAATCAAAGTACGTAGCCGACAAAATGTAATCGTTTTATTCATCAAAGTCATTGGTGTCGGTTAACACAAGCCCGCCGTGATACGGTCTTCGCGTACGCGGTTCTGTCTTTGTAGTGTTCTCTATTAATTGTTTGTAAACATTTAAAGTATAAAAGTAACCAATTGACTCACTAATATCTGGATCGTTTAACAAAAATAATGGACAGTCCATTGTTGATTTAAACTTACTGAAACTGGCCGGTGACACTTCTGTCTGTGCGTCTGTTCTATGAAAGATAATTTTGTCCAGTAAATTAAATATTAAATTCTGTTAACAATATAACAGGTATTCCTTTGTCGTCGTCCAGAATAATATCAGGAAATTCAATTTCTTGTTCAGCTGTGAAATTACCCGAGTCGACATTTTGATCGTATTTTGATCTCCAAAGGTCCGATCAACTTCGGATCAGGGAGTTCAAAGTACGATCAATTCCCATGTTAAATTTGATCGTATTTTGATCTCCACAGTGGTACAAATTTCCGTTTTTACCACTCTGGAGTCCAAAGTACGATGACAGAAATAAAAATTCGGTCCGATTTTGAACGCCTTGATCGTATTTTATAATGATAATATTAATAGTAATGATAACACCAGGACTGGGCCATAGTTAATTTTCAATACTATTTGATTCAAAATTTATGAAAAAAAATAATTTTTAAACTCCATTTTTTTAGTTCAATTTTGATGTAGAGCTAATGCAACTTTAGACCATTTAATTCTTAACTTAGACCTAACTATCGCTAATTGTAGAAATAAAGTGAAAATCGCATTCCGTTCTAACCGAGATTCGAACCCGAGCCGCGCGCTTGCCAGACCAGGGGGTGATCACTTCTGACCCCCACCATGCCTAATTTTGTCCAGAGTCGGCTTACTTGTGGGAGAAACTGAAGGAAAAAAATTTCTCTTGACTGACGCGCGTAAAGTTGGTAGCGTTGGTAATAATAAGCGTTGAGTAAATGTCCCTTAACCTCAGTTGTTTGTGATTAAATAAATATTGTTAATTTTGTCCCAGTTTCTTTGCATTTTATTGCAAAATATTTTTTTAATTTTTGTGGGACGTGAGAAAAAAAGGAATAATGTCATATTGCTGTATTAAATCTTGCTGGCATAAAAAAAAATCTTTTTCTTGTCGCTATCATCGTTTTCCAGCCGACTCGGTAAAGTAAGTAAACAATGTGACAGTAGGTCAAATTTTTGACAGTTCATTATGTATTAAAAATATAGTTATCTGAATGGGTTCGATTGGTTGGTGAAGAAGATTTTTTGTTTTTAAATGTAGAAATTCTGCATAGGACTAAGTATGTATGCAGCTGCCATTTCAATGACAACGATTACAGCTCAAATATGAAAATATATCTCAAATCATCGGCAGTTCCGTCTATTTTTCATACTAATCACAAATCATTAATCGATGCAGACATGACTAAATTTTTATGTACATGTAAATGTGTAAAGGTTTTTGCATTATTGCATAATTGTAAAAGGTTTAAGCAACCTCTAATCATTTCTTTATTTTGAAATTATATGCTTCCAAAACTGTGATAACATTACTGTTTTAAATTAAAAGTACGTTTTTGATGTTTAAGTCAGATTTTTTATCGTTAAAAATATTAATAATTTAATAAATATTTGAATTAATTAATTGGTTATTTGCCGCGTAATATGTGATAATATGTGATAATTTTATAATGACAATAAAATAAATAATAAAAGTTTTTATTTACTTTAAATGTATCATTTAATTATAAATTTATTTCATGTGCCAGACCGATAACTAACCCCTATGCCGTACGACCGATAAGTTGATGCACATCTCATCATTTATATAAACTAAATCTAGATGGTGACGATGTGTGACGTTTTATTATTTATACAATTTATCTTATTTAATATTGTGTTTTGATGAAAATAAACTATTTTTTACAAATGTTTATTAGTTAAAAAAAAAAAGTTAAATTCTTATAGTACTTTAGACTTTGTACATCATTCTGTATATTTTTAATATCTTATTTTAAAATCTTATAATTTTTACAATTAAAATATTAAAAATTCAACTGAGTCAAAACACGTCAAGTGGACCCCCTTTTTACCACTTGGTGATAGGAAACTTATCAAAATATGATTATCGAAAGTAGTCATACCTAAAAATCATCCCTCAAAACAGTTTTTGAAAATTTTGAATTTAACAACAATTTTTTTAACAATAAAAATTTTCGGTACTTTTAATTAAAAAATTAATTGTGAAAAAGCTATTGACGATAACTTAATGAAATTTTCAGGAAATTATAGTAAAATATCTATATTTTCACATAAAATTCTTTTGCAAATTTAATTTGTTTATTATCATATTTTTTATTAACTTTTAAATAAACAAATTGAAATATTAATGACTTCTCAGTACGATAATCGATCCACATTTTCACATTTTTATGTGAAAATGTGGATATTTTACTATAATTTCCTGAAAATTTCGTTAAGTTATCTTCAATAGCTTTTTCACAATTAATTTTTTTATTAAAAGTACCGAAAATTTTTATTGTTAAAAAAATTGTTGTTAAATTTAAAATTTTTAGAAACTGTTTTGAGGAATGATTTTTAGGTATGACTACTTTCAATGATTATATTTTATTAAGTTTTCTATCACCAAGGGGTAAACGGGGGGTCCACTTGACGAGTTTTGACTCAACTGTAAATTATTATATTTTAATTGTTTTAAGACCAAATCAATTTTAACGATATGCAATTGTTTTGGTTAAATATAATAAGTGTATAGATAAATAGAATACATTTACGCGAGTTACAGGTTAATATGGATAAAAATTATTTTTGTGATTAGTTTAATTTGTTGAATAATTATTTATAATTAATAAAATTTTATTTATTACTTTTATCGGACATGAAAGTTTAAAGTCGTATCTCTCGATGAACCGTCGGACCAAGGAGTTCAAAATCCGATTTCTCGGTAAACAGTACGTTCAAGACGTTCAAAGTCGGAACTAGTCGGACCATGGAGCTCAAAGTAAGATCAATTTCGGATCAGAAAGTTCAATATACGAACTAGTCGGACCATGGAGTTCAAAGTACGATCAATTTCGGATCAGGAGGTTCAATATCCGATCGAAATTTCGACTCGGGATAATATCAATCATCGGCGCTTCTTCAATGGGATTGTTGAATTTTTTCTCGAATTTCAATGCGTCAAACGAGTAAGATTTATTATCGCTGATTATGTAATTGATCAAAGTTGAAATAGATTTCTCAACTTCAACTTTAATACCATGTTCCAAACCATTAAGATTTTTATACCATACTGTCTTGCTAAACTCGCGCATAAATTTATTTCTGTCCTTAGTATCTAGATTAGTTTTGTTCTGTTCCGATTTAGATAACTCTTCAAATAGTCGATTTCTTAGCATCTTCAATTTATCTATTTCTTGCAAAGCAAGGGCATCTTTTTTGAATTTATTGATGTACTTCAACCTAATATAAGACTTCAAATTAGCTTTTTCGGCTTCAAAGTTATTAATGTTGATCTTACTATAGTCAAATTGCTCAGAAATATCAACATTATCAAGGAGTTCACTGTTACGGTAAATGGTGCAATGACTTTTTAAAAATGTCGCCGCGACGGAAAGTTTTGAACCGTTCCACTGTTTTTAAGCCGTTTTCATGATAAAAATCAATATCTTCAGTTGAAGCTGAGTAATCTTTCGCGTAAATGTAATAATAAACCATTTTAACTGATAACAATTTAATATCTAACTAATAAACAATATTTAATGTTAAACCGTTTCACAAAATTACGTAACGTTATGATCCCCGTTTAAAGACCGGCTGAATACCGACAGTTGTAGCATGTGATTTTATAAGCCGGCTCACACTTGACTGTTGAGTTGTTATATCTAAATAGCAATGCGTCATCAAAGTATGTGGAGTAAGTTAGCGGGGTTCTACACGGGGAAGGAGAGTTTTCCAAATCACATGCTTTACTTAAATTTATCACCTTATTCGGATTCGGAGAATTTATTCTTTGTTATTTTTTTATTTGAGGTAGATAATTTTTCATGTAAGTCAAAAAATTACGTTGATTTCCAGATTTTTACAAGTGGTTTTTTGAAGTTATACTTCTTTTGGCGCGTTAGGGAAAAATGATGATAGTAAATTTTTACGATGCGCGCGCACACCGTCACGAAAAACCGACACTCTGAAGTTAGCCAGTCAACATTTTAGTTTTTCAAAAAAAGTTACCAACAAAGTAAAAGTAAGGACATCTACGGTTTCTCAAAAACGAATCGACTGATTGAATTTTACGACACGTCATTCGAAAGGGTTTATCAAAACTTAGTATCACTGTAACTATATTATTTTACAATGTTTATGTGGATGTTCGATTGGAAGAAAATTTGATTTTTGAAAAGGCTTAACGGACTTTGTTTTTAACTACACGGAAAAAAGTAAACATTAAAATTCACTCGGATACCGGTTAATTTTTATAATTTCAAGCAATACAGCGGATATTGGGGTGGCAAAAATGTAAATATTACAGAACTGAATATAGAAAGTGTAAAAGCCATAATTTATAATTTAATATCAAAAATGTGATTAGTAAGTGTCACTATTGTAAATAACGACTCTCTAATCTTAAAAAATTACAGTTTCGACCAGTAAAAATTTCCATTTCAATATACACTCTATTATGCTGTGAGGAAAAGGAGAAGGTCTCACACTCGGAGAATTTAACATTTGAAACAGTAAAAATTCTACTCTTAAAATATATATTTTACCAGTCCAAGCAAATTAATAATTATAGTTTCGTTTTTGGCGTTGCGTTTAAAATTCACCATTTTACTTTGAAATATTGACGTTGCTTGTTTAGAAAATTTAGTAACTGTAATTTATATTTTTTACATGTCATGCGATCATTTTTTAGGTACGAAATGATAAATATCAAAGTCAAAATTCTTAATTACTATACTTTAACATTTTCGACATTCACATAACGAATATTATTGTTTGAAATAGTATTTTCTTCCATGTGAATAATAAATTGTAGCATTTAAATGATAAAGATTATAAAGTGATTATTAAAATCACGATTTTACTGTTTGAAACGGTAATTTTTTTCAGTTGATCATTATTTATTATAAATCGACTATTATTTATTATAGTTTACTTTTTTCTTAAAAAAAAACTTTAAACGCGTTTATCTCAGAACTTTTTATCTCCGGAATCACTAATCCAATCTTGATAGAATTTAAACCACATATTCTACATAGTATTAGCTATTGCATCATGCAGTTACAAAATTTGGATTTTTTCTTTTTTTTTTAGGACTGAAAACTGTAAAAAACAGCCTCATTTTTCAGTATTTAACTTCCCGCTAAGAAAATTGAAAATTTTCAAAAATCGGGAAGTTATTGGTTTTACCCAGTTTTTTGAAAATCGAGTTTTCATCAGATCTCGACGTTTTGAGGTCCTAGGAAGCTTCCCTGACTATTCCTGCGATGGTGTGTGTGTGTGTGTAAACCTCTCATAACTTTTGAACGGCTTGACCGATTTGATCGCGGTTGGTGCCATTCGAAAGGGTTCGACTAAACTTAGATTTTAAATACAAGTTGGACCGATTCGGACTGATAGATTTTGAGAAATCTTAAAAAAAACTGCGAAAAAAAATTTTTTCAAATGTGGTTTTTTTTAATAATTTTTAAACGGCTTGACCGATCAATTCCAAAAACTAATCAGCTCTAAACATCGAAAAACCACGTTGATCGCCACCAAGCCGGTCAAAATCGGTCAATTCGTTCGTGAGTTATCGTTGACGAAAAAAATCGAAAAAAAGTGTTTTTTTTTAATTACACCGAAATTTCCGGTCTGATTAATTAGTGGTTGAAAATATATTATAGAATTTGAAAAACTGCGTCGAATGGCGCCAACCTCGTGAAAATCGGTACATTGATTCAAAAATTATTGCGGTTTAAAAATTCAAAAATTAATGTTTTATTAAACTGCTATCAGACTTTTGAGCTCGGAGAGCTCAAAACTACACGAAAATTATATTTTTGAGCTCGAAGAGCTCAAAAACGTAATAAGTGCAATTTTGAGCGCTTAATTACGAAAGTAGCGGGAAGTTACAGGGATGCCCCTCAGGGTCAACCGTTTTCCTAATTTTTTTAAAAAGTAACCATTAACTATCAGTTAATGGTTTTTCATTAATTCAGTTTTAGAAAGTACAAAAAAAAAAAATTGTTAAAGTATTAAATTCAATTATAAAAAAAATCTGGACAGCAGTTGACCCTTCAGACCATGCCTATGAAACTTCCCGCTATTATGTACAAAATACTCAAGAAATTATCTATTCCGGTTTTGAGCTCGAAGAGTTCAACTTTTATTTTTTTCGAGCTCGAAATTCGAGCGGTTATTTAGAATATATTTTTTTAGAAATTTTTAATTGCGATATCTTCCGAACGAATTAATCGTTTATGATGGAACTTGCAGCACTCGACGCAGTTTTTCAAGGACAAAAAGATTATTCTTCACTCGCTAAACAATCCGAGAAGGAATTTTAAAGTTTGTAAGAAAATCGATTTTTTCCGAATTTTCGACAACGATTTTTCTTGAACGAATGAACCGATTTTTAAGCCGTTAGCGTCAAACAATATTTTTTTTCGAGTTTAAAAGCAAAATAGTTTTTAGAATTGATTGATATTACATTAGTTTGAAAGTTATCTCATAAAAATATTTTCTTGGCTAAAAGACCAACATCTTCAATTGATAACTATTGTCACTCCATTCAAGGGTATGTTATCTTCAATCGATACAATCAAATTCTTTACCTAAGAACAATTCTTTTTATCTAATGACAATGCAGTTTTCTTAAATTTTATTTGATTGCAGTATTTGTTATAATTAATGAAAATAATTTTGTCTTTAAGAAAATTAAAATTTTTATTCTGAAATTCCTTAAAATTATAATTTTTCGAACTGAAGATAACTTTAACAAGTTTCTTTATTTAAAATGTACAAAAAAAATATTTGTTTTTTTTTTTATGAAATAAAAAGTAGCAAAAATTCGAAAATTATAGTTTTCAATCGCATTTTTGAAAAAAATTGTGTGTCTTAATCTAAGAGAATTGAATTGTAGGACGAAATATATGTATATACTTTGTTTGAAAACAGTAAAGTACTTTATTGAATTCATATAATTCTTGAATGGAGAACTTACAATAATATACATAATAAAATATGTATGTTGATCTAAGAGATTTAACTTTCGATTTGAGTGAATTTCTTGTATAAAATATCCAGAAAAAATTATTCACCGTATTTAAGGACATGTGTGTTATATAATTAATTAAAAAAATTTTTATTTATTTTTATTAGCATCTGTTTCTGTTTCTTTACATGAAGCTTATTTCCAGACTTTTAGCTTAGCTTGTATTGATTAAGAATGGTCTAAGGTAGAATATATTGCGGTAGCTCTACTGAAGAGACTGCTTGTGTATTCGGGACGAAGCTCTATCACCTATTATGACATCTATGGTATTTCGTAGATATGACCCTAGTTTTGGTGGTTAACTTATAAGTCAATTTAGATAGAAATAACGTTCTATCTCATTCAGAAGATGTTCAAAATTTAAGCTATCAAAACCAACTAAAAATCAACAATTATTATAAAAACTTTATTGTATTTGTTCTTAATTTATACAATTTTAATCAACTATTATTTTGCTTAAATAGAGTGAAACTTCTATTGAATTATTCAATAATTTCTTCAATATCGAAATATATGCTACAATATTTACAAACTTGAATAAAGCGAAATTATTGCTTCGTAAATCAGTATCAGTATTAGTTTAAGAGATTTTAATAAAGCTTTTGTGTGCGTAAGCTTTCAAGGCTTTTAAGATTTTTAAATAGTTACTGCTCATATTTTATAATATTGATTTATTTATGTAAAAGCACACAACGTGAATGTAAAACTCGAGCTATTTATACTTAAATGTAGGTACGCTATTGTTGGCTAACTTTGTTGTCTATATTTTTAGAATTATAAACCTTTTCATTTTTTTCGAATTAAAATTAATTGAAATTTGGAGCTTTGTACTTCCTTGTATTTTACTTCTGTTAATATTTTTAACATTTTGTTTGAGGTCGTATCTTCGATTAGAGATTTACCATTCAGAATTTGATGAAATTTGATATATTAGTAAATTATAGTAAGATAATAAGCCCACTGAATTATTTAAGAGCTTAAGAGAACAAGTAAAAAAATATTGAGCTATAAAAGTGTTAGGATTAAAAATTAAATTTATTTTATTTTACAAATAGTGGCGTTCAGATTTCAATAAAAATTTAGGTGATGAAAAGTAATAACATATTGAATATTTTGCGTAATTAAAAGTACAGATTCAGAGCATGTGATAGTAATGATAAATAAAGAACTTTAAAAAATTATCTGTGTCTCTCTTTCTCTAATGCAACTTTGCATAAGAAAACCAACTTAGTAAATCAAATAAAGCTTTGTATAGAACATTTGACACTTATGGTATTTGTGGTACTGCGGTAAATAGAACAATTCTGAAATTAAGTAAAATTTAGTTGAATCAAGAACAATTTCTCAAATCAAGATTTTTCCACTTAATTATTCATCAAATTCTTCAAAATGACGTTTTTGGCTCAAGAATTTTCCTCTTGAATTAAGAGCTCTTAGCTGTTGTAACTTCGTGAACTTCTCTAAACAAAGTAAAATTAGAGAAAAAGCTCTCTGCTACTTGATAAATTATTCAATTATCTATTTTCTATAAGAGCGTTTTTTAAGAAATTTTGATTTGTTGAAGAAAAATTCATGAATTTGCTGTTACT